GATGCTTTTTGGTAGCATTTTGTACAATGTAATTGACCGTTTGACCGATCTATATGCTTTATAAAGTCGATGCAATTGCGTTTGCACTCAATTAGGATGCAAACTCGAATTCCCGTAGTAATTGCGCAATTGCATGTTAACATTATCGAAGCATAAACTAGTAACGAACTTTGATTTTCCAACGAGCTTCCTAATATTTCTCAAAATCTCTATATATTTCAGGATACGGTAAGACAATCACGCTTTCTACTCTAATAAAGGAAACTTGTGCAATATTTTCTATTGTATTTACAAATAATATTTTGTCGTTAAAATTGACAAGTATTCATATGAATTAGAAATGTTTAACATTTGAGATAACGACCTCGCGTTTCGGTATACATTTAATTAAAGATAAATGTTTGACATGCGTGACAGGGAATAGAAACAGAAAATATTTCAAAAGTAAGAATAGTGTTCAATTTTATTCCCATAATCAAGAACTCGGGTAACATCGATACAAGCACGCATAACACCACAATTATATCGAACAAAATATTCTTCGGGTACTAACACACCAGCATTTATAATGAAATAACGCATTTAGTAAATATTCATGCCTAACAAAAGTAATTCAATTTAGAGTACGTTTCGTTCGCGCAGTGTCCACGTAACAATCCACGATGACACCACTTTCGATTCTTTACACCTTGTTTGAAAGTAGATTCACGGTTTAATTTATAATAAAACTAATTGATGACGAACATACTGCGAAAATGGAATTTAATTGAAACATTTTTAAATAAATTCATCTGTTTCAACGCTGACAATGAAAACGATTTTAAATATATTAATGAACATGAAGTGTTTTTTATATTGATATGACTGGTCAAATTGCATCTAAACAATTGAATAACAAATCATATTTATGACATAACTTCGTTTTTAGTTTGTTTGAAAAGTGTAGATTCCATTTAATTAATAAAAGAAATTAATACAAAAATCTACAAAACTTAAGCATACATCTAATAAATCCTGAGGAATCGTGTACAAATAAGACCACAACGCAACGACGTAACGTTTGCTTGTTTATTCATCATGATTTCGATGGATCGGTATAAATTACTGCATGTTTTTTTCTGGTGGAACAAAACGAAAGAGTACGTGCATCTCTCGCAGTACGCAATACGATTTTATCTACAAATCTCAAATATTAATATGACATTACATATCATTACATTGTACGGTTGAATTTCTTTTTACAGGTAATGTTCCGTTATAACCATATGAGTTACTATTTACAAATTCTGTCGCTATCTAGTCTCACAACATACATTGTAAGTTTCAACATTGTTATTACATAATCGAAAGATGCCTTGACAGATGAACGTGACAATAACAATTGAAATACCTTCTAAGAACTGAACACTTCTCACCGTATAAATTATTTTCACAAAGCAACAGAAAATTTACTAGTTACCTAATATCATTGCAGTTCCCTTGAGCTCTTCAAATTTTTATTACGTTTATTTCAATATGTTTTTTAGCAAGAATATTCAAGCAATTGGTTGTTTTCATCAACTGATACAACTAATTAGGCTTCTTCAATTCTTCGTCACTCGTTTTTATAATACTCTGCTTTGGTTTATGTTGTCCAGTGAATAAAAGCTTTACGTGAGATTAAAATGAAGAAAACAGTACATATCCCTCTTTACGCTCTCGCTGTCGCGCATTTCAATGCTTACACGCTAACTTCGCATGATTATGAATGAACACTTGCCGTTGTAAACAAATTTCACCGTCTGGTCGAATTTATACAATGTACACACGCCAGCACCAACTATTACAATCAGCACCAATAATTAGTAATACATTTATCGAAACCGCAAGTCAAGATTCGTGGCGCACACTTTCTCAAGCACAAAGTTCTTTCTGTTTCGTTCAGATTTTCGAATTTCACAGTATGCACTGTGCTTTTATCACATGCAGAGTGTCTTGATCTATGGATGGAACCTACTCTGTTTCGGGGAAGTAAATCAATTTCAATGATCACTGCAATCATTGCAATCGTCACAACTGCATGATTATGATCTGATAATAGTCTGATAATTGTCTATTAATCGACGTGATTGTGACGACTGTGTCAATTATAACGATCGTTTAAATCGTCTCAATTATCCTAGTTGTTACAATCGCCATAGTCATCAAAAATACTGTTAAACGTACAATTATCAAGTAAAAAGTTTTAATTAACAATAAGCACCAATATGCGTATAGAAAATACCACATATGCAACAAGAGATCAATGTAACCCCATCTTTTGAAACCCAATTTTGACCCTGAATTTAAGAATTGTAATTATCCTAATCAGCTTAATCTCTATTGACTAGCTGTCGAATGGTGGTCCCAATTATGTTCTTAAATTTGGAAACTTCTCCATACAGATAGAAGCTATAAGATATACTCTCGAAATAGAGTGAGTTTCATCTTGTAAGACGTATGTTTGAATAATCAATAGTTTGGAAGCCAATTGCGCGGAAAGATTGTAATGTGACACCCTGTATAATAGGAGATCTCTTACAAAAAACACTCCGCAATCCTAAGAACTCTGATTGTTCGCAAAACAACTTATTTATCGTCCTTCATTACCGCCATACATTGCGTATCTTATTCTATTATACCTTTTTTTTTTCAAGATTATTAGAACCTTAATAGCCAACTATCAGACTTTAGTTAACCAACTGTATAATAAATTAAGATATAATTATCATTAACTTAATACCACAGGCAAAGGAACAGTAACAGAAGATCGTTACGATAAATAATTGCGATAATAAATATTAATGACCAAACACTTAATTTAGTAGACTAGTTGATCGCTACTGCTTTTAACTTTTCTGGAAATCAGAATTTTTCGAACCAGACTTTCTCGTTCAACGTAGTGCACTGTTAAACTATCTGTACCTTGAAAATATTATCAACAACATACAACAATATACACAACAAATATATGTAAATAGTTTGGAGTTATTACATCGAATCAAACTTTCCTAAAAAAAAATGTTTCATGACAAAAAAAGTCTTAAAAGTTATACTTAAGAAATTGTTCACCTCCACATCCTTCGTGTATCACTCACATATATATTTTCTTCTTATCGTTTTAAATAAAATATTCCTTAATTTCGAATAGCCGAATATTTAAATTAGACTTAATAAACTTTTCTTTAAATTAAGTGCTTATAGTCTTCAAAGCGATTGAAACGTGTGAAAAATCGCTTTGATTGCCGTACTTGATACCATTGGTGTCCCGTTTCGAGTTCAATCGCTCAATTTCTAAGAAATAATCAATCAGTCAATTAATTACCTAAATATGAATCTAGCTTGCTTGTGCGCACTCTGAAAGATCGACATTACATAGGAACCGATTGAAAGCAGTGGCAGTATCCACCATGAAGTAACTTGATCGTGGATCATTTCACGCCAAATAGATCACTTTTGATATCGATACGTAGAGACGAAACGTTATCAATAAATTGTTTACTATGGCACACGATGCAAAGGACTTTGATCAAACTAGCAAAGCCTTTTCCAAAAGTGGCTTTTGTGTTTCGTTTTTTAATAACAAAACACATATGTCGATGTATAGTTATTACTAGTAAATTTATATTTCATTTTTCATTTATTTATTTACTCGATTTAACATTTTTATTATACGATTATAGAGAAAGTAAATGTGCAAAAGTTCTTACGTTCGAACGATTTCATGAAATATTTTTAACATCGAGTACAAAAGTGATCGTTTTGGCGTAGATTGATTTTTATACATTTATGCGTGCATTTCACGTGTGCAAGATTTTTATCAGAGAGGGGCAAAATTCTTATCTAGATTAAAGTGTCAACGAATAAAAAATACGTGAATAAAAATTTGAACTCGAATTATAGAATGAAATATTTCATAACGAACAACTGAAAATTTAACTATTCAATGGAACAAACGTCACGAATAAATCACTGTTCGTTGGTTTTATCCGTTATCCATTGTTCGAATAAAATTTTGCCTATCTCCAATTTTTGTACTACTTCTGTAAAAATGTACTTTTAAGCTACACGCGTTGAGCTATGTTACTCTTAGCGCCGAATTTTTTGCATTAGCAATAACTTTTCTCTATTGCAATTTCATAATTACTTGAGATAACAAATATACAAATAATATCTTAAATAATTCGTTAAATTTGAAAAATCACTGTATTGAAACAGGTATTTCTGGTATTCGTGTCAATTAAAATTTGTCTCGGTGCGATTCATATAAAATAAAACATAGATGCTTTTATTTAGTGTAAACATTCGTTGGAAAAAAACGAAGAAAATTTCGGAAAAAACTTTTGTTTCACCGCGATATTAACTGAGACTTAGACTTGGAAGCTTCAGTTAATACAAAATATATTATATTAACGTAATCGAAAGTAAGTTGTACTTTCGAAGGAATAAATTGAACAAGCACTCTCCATGTATATAGAGTTCAGAATGATTCGAAGTCGTCCTTCGACAAAACTGCATTTCACTAGATCTCGTAAAAATCTCACATACGTGACGACATATTTCACGAACAACAATTGTATATTTACAATCCGTTATACATACACCGATGCATAAATAATTTACTTAAGAGAAATATCATTTACTTAAAAGAAATATCATTTATACAAAAATGACCGTTTCTCGCGATTGTGGTCGTAGTACGACTGAACAATCAATTTCACAATTTTTGTTTACGTGTACCATGAATGAAAATAGATTTTGGATTACACGAATAATAATATAAAACGTTGTTATTTTGTCCTCTTGCATAGTTAAAAACAGTAGATGAATAAAAGTAGAGCCGAGAAGAAATTAATTATTACAAAAAGATCACTAAAAAATTGAAAATTTGTCACTGTTGTATAGTGATTATGTGCTAATCTACATTATTCGTGGCTTATCCGTGTAGGTTCGAATCTAAGGAAGTAATAAATTCCATACTCTCTTATATAAACAGTAAACACTTTTCACTTACGAGCAAAAATTTTCCTTAGATATTGTACAGTTATGTCAATTCCACTCTTAATGAATAATCTAGGGACTTCAGAAGCCATCTTACAGAATTGCAGTCACGCTCTAAAGTACGTACAAGAGTATGCTAAAAAAATTATTATCCTAGTCATTGTACATTAATTTTAATACTTATGCGAACTACTGGCATCTGTCGACGAATAAAGCTGTATACGTTGCATCTCGAAATTCTTGATTTACAGGTGTCTCGTTAGCTCAATGTTATTTTCAGTTGTAAGAATTGTTTAATGTAATATCAACGCGCGTCACGCGGTGGTTATAGATTTATTACAACAATAAGCGCTATTACTTTTAAACAAAAATCGTTAATTAAGGGAATCTTGCACTTTAGAAGTTTAGTAATCTTAATTTACTCGTTTGCGTAATTTCTTCCAATTACGATACAATCGCACTAAATTTCTAAACTCAATATCCACAATCTAAAATTGCTAGTATTTTACAAGTGACAAACCATTTCCGCATAAGAACTGATACTGTAAATCAAGAACATTTAGCGAAAATAATATCAACAAGCACTATCGAATTAAATCTAAGAGTATAGTGCCCCATGAATCAACAACAAATGGAATTAATACTTTTTGTTCTTCTGTGCCTAAAACAAATATTACCAGCACATACCACGTTATTTGACATTAATCTGTGTCATTTTTCCATATTATCAAATGCGATGGAAACATTTCACATGGGATAAACTATCGTCGTACGATACAGTCTGAGAAAATAAATAAAATAGTGAAATTTGCTGCTTCATACAACATATTAATTTCACATCTCCGCCACTGATAGTAAATAAATAATATTACAATTCGAAAGTGAAGTACGCTGTAAATTCAAGCCCACGTGAACATTAACATGGTTTAACTATGGTGTTCCTTTGCACTTGTATATCTGAATGTTTACAAATATTCATTAACGTGGCCGCGCAATCACTCGAATGTTTATTTAATCACTGGACGAGCGTTTAAATCGTCGACGTTCCAGGAACATTTAAAACTACGTTAACCTGTATACCGCCGAATTCTATGTTATTATTCGTTATCCTTCCACGTACCGAACGCAAAAATATTTCATTATCTCTATCGAACGTAGGAACCAATATATTAATAAAATTCAATTACATTATCTCAATTTTGAACGAATCTCTAGGAACCCTATTAGAGAGAAAATGTAATTATTGCTTCGCGCTTCCTGTCCATGAGAAATGAAAACGGCTCAATGCGCAGCATTCGTGTTTCATTTACAGAAATTTAATTTAAATCGAAATTTTTCAACGCGCTTTAAAAAAAGCAGTTGTAATTTCTTCACGCCGTTTTATATTCCTTACGGCACTTATTTCACCAACTTTTTTACACCAATGCAAAATACCGTCGCGTATTTCATACCTGCATTACGATATCGTTTCGTTCTTGACAGCGTTAAATTTAATTAATTAATAATTTTGCATTAACCGTACATCGACGCGAGTCCCTTATAAATTATTTTGTAAAACATTTCGCTCTTAAAATCGTCAGTCGCGTTAATACATTTTACGAAAATAACGTTTCGGAAAATTTTAAATCGAATCTCGGTGGGGCCTTTAACACGTAAGAGGTTCTAATTCAAATCGTTTAGAGCATCCGTACAATCGTTAAAGGAACGCTATACAAATTCACGTTAAGTGATATGCCGGCGCTGTTTACTACGTCCGTAACCGTCTCCGCTAACCAACGATTAAAATAGTTCAGCATCAACGATCATACGTAAATTTTTCACCAAGAAAAATAATCCCGTATCGAGCGATCCTAAACATTAGAAATAAAAGGCTCGTACCTGTTAAAACTATGAAGTACGTTTAACCGCAGGTAATTGACCGTGATCAAAATATCAATTGAATCGGTTATACGGCGATCGTTGTCCTCGATGGATCGACGGTCCCGTAATCTTAGTAAAAACATGCGCATATTTGTTTCGTCTAGAGTAACGAGTTAATTCTATAGTGACGTGTAAAAGTCCACGATGTTCGTCGAAAAAGTACAAATTCGAGTACACCTAGCGCTTTATGTTTCGACAAATTCATACTCGGCAGTCTTTCTCCCGTTTACGGACTACCCCAGACTTCTCGTCAACTCGCGAGGCTCCCTCGAAATCTTCCAACCGCTGAACATATTCGTTAGAAAATGAAAGAAAAGCGAACAGAACTCCGCCACTCGTACGAGTAATACTCTCCGCGCCCATTGGAAGTCCAGATGATTCTTCAGACGATAGCGTATGTAAATTCGAATGCGTCGCATTATTTCACAGGTTTCAACGAGTCCGCGGCGAGGTTTCTTCAAGTATTTTTGAGGTTCGTGCGGACCAGGTCGTGCTCGCGCCACGAGCTCGCTGTGCATATACCGTCGCCTCTCCACCATTCGTTCACATCCTTGTAGGACTTCGGTCGTCGATCGTCGTGCAGCATCGCGCAAACGCGGCACCAAAAGAACGTGTTGATGAATTCCCCGGTGCCCTTCCAACGGAAGTACGAGTTGTACAGTTCTTCGTCGCGATCCAAGCGGTGGAGGTACTCCGCCAGCTCTTTAGGCGACTCGAACTCGTCCACGTGAATGTAGGAACGATATGGCGCGCTTCGAGCGTAGTCTGTTGGATGCGCGCCCATTACTATCGGCAGAACGTTGTGTCTGAATGAAAGAAAAGAATCGTTTCGATATTCGTATAAAATGAAAGGAAGTATAGGTATCGTTTCTTTTTCTTTGCCAGATCGTAGCCAGTTGAGCGCGTGCTGCTTTGGGGCTGTGATTGGTCGGTAGTTTTTTGTTAGTAATTCAAAAATGAAGCTTAATCCGACATTTTTGCAAAAGAAATTTGTGGTTCGGAATCGTTTCAGCTTCTTCCCATTACCGGTTCTTACACTAATTCTGGGACTTTCTTTATATACAAAGGGCATCTTTTTCCCCAGGCTACTAATAACTTTCACACATTAACGATAATATTATGAATGCAACGTACCCAAGACCGTTGACGAAGAACTTTTCCGTGATGTAATCCTTGCAATTAGAGTTCTCGAATGCTAGATAGAATTTGTAGTCCTCGTCAAGCATATCAAAGCATGCTTGAGACTGTGAACGCGGACACCGTAGAGTACCGCAAGTACCATAAATGTCCACTTGTATGTATTTCGATAGCTCCCTGGCATAATTCATACGTTGATTTCGAGGATGGCAATTGGAAACGAACCACGCCACCTGAAATAATTGCAAGCAACAGATGAACTGTATTACTAATCATGATCTTAAATTTTATTCAATTCAAATTTGAGTTCATATCATTACACATTATGTTTTAGCTTCTCAATAAACAATATAAGCAAGAAGAGAACGTTTTGTTTATTTTTCGTTAAGCATGTCAACATAGGTAATCAAATTTGAATATCTCACATGAAGTTTTTAAATCACAGATTGTAACTCAAAAGAGTAAACTGAATACATTCGGTATTTTGAAATGTGTATTTCAATTTGAAACACTTTTCAAAGTATTTAAGAATTGCGAGAAAAGTAAAAACGTTTTTACCTTCTTACTCTTGTTGGCTGCGTAATTAAAAGTCTGCGGTATTTGCGTAACACTAGAATCGTAATACTGCCACCTTTCATAGGGTGCGACTATATCGCTATCACGACGATAGGTTGCCGTCCAATTGATGACGGCGTTCTTCACACTTTGAGTGTGATAGGGACATTCTAATAAATACAGCATCCATACCTGTTGAAAATCGTACAAGTCTCATTCAATGTGCGTTAGCTTCCTTTTTAACAGTAACATAAACGTGAGTTTCATTTACTCGTTTCGTTCACGTTACTTCAAAATTCGTTTACCTTGTTTCAACACAATATAATAATATTATACATTATAAAGTAACAAATATTAAGTAAGTTATAATAAGATATAATAAGGTAAGTAAACTAGTCTATGTGGTCTTGACAATCAATTTATTGCTAAATGCATTCCACCACCTTTAACAGGTAATGATAATTTTTCACTTTGCTTCGCATAGTGATTTCTTAGGTATCGTTCAAATAAATCAAAGTAGAACATGACTCGTGCTACGTACTTGCTTTGGAGATTTTCTTCGGACATGAGTTACATAATCCTTAAAAAGGATTAAATCGGCGTCGTCCGGATTTTCCCTGACAATCGTACACGTATTTACTGGGCAGCGATGCTGATGAAATATGTCGGGACCAACTTTTGCTTCGGGCATACCATGCGGAACCATTATTTTTTTCAACGGCTGCTCCGTCTTATTATAATCATTGGGCACAAACATCAACTGTAAACATGAGACACGATACAAATTAAGACGTTTATTTCATTGTTTAGAACAATAGTATTGTTTAGAACAGCGTTAGAACAATAGTATGCAAGTTTATAAATAAAATAGAAGAATATCGTTATGATGTTGCCAAAATCTCGAAGCTCCTTTCGAAAAACGCTTTACATGAAAATTCTCATCGACTCTTACTTGATTTGTGACACGATCATCGTACACATCTTCTTCGGGCCATAAATGTGCCATTCGTCGACCGGTGCGATTGGATTTTAAGGCAGGAAAAGGTCTCCTGCTTCCTCCTTTCATGTACCAAGGTCGTCTTAATGGTTCCAGGGTGGCTATAGTAATGCGTGACAGAATCGTCGTGCCGGGTGGATTGGTTACCTTTAATTAAAAGAAATAAATAGATTTAGGTACTGTCTGGTTATGTCATAAATAGACTGCGGATTTTATGCATTCATGATATAAACCGATATAATAAACATATACTAAACATAACCAAAAGGTATGTCCACATATACACAATGAAATAACAATGTCATTTTAACAATTGTAGAATGTATTCAACATACATTATGTATGGGGATTTTCTATTCTTTTGTGATTTATTTGATAATACTCTTTTTGATAATACTCTTTTCTACTTATTAGTTTTCTTATTCTTTTTTTTTTTTTAATTTTTTTTTAAGTGAGTCTCCCTGAAGTTTTTCGATTGCTTTACAATAATTTACAAAGTGTTTCGTTCAATAATGGCGTGGAACTGAGAAACCGGTTGGTCGAATTCTTAGCGTCAACATGTCGCATAGCGATAATGACGATAATTGTGTATAATGACGGTGACGATGATGAAGAAGCTACATCATGTAGGTACGAGATACGAGTGAGTTTAGATGATGAGGTATAAACGAAGAATATTTAGAAGAGAGTAGATGGTTTAGAAAAAGATGCCAAAGTAATATTTATTACTGACAAAAACATGATTAAAACATCAATACGAAATAAAAGCAAATTTAAAATAATGTATGGATAATGATAAAATATAAATATATAATACTAGGTATTTTGGAAAAGTTATTGAATTAAGAAAAGGACAAAAGCAATCATTATTCGTTCGATAAGTATTATAGATGCCAAGTACACTGGCACTTCTCACGCAGCTACAACAGAACTTCAAATTGTGCAAAGTGAACGAGTCAACATGACACGAATAACTGTACCAAGCCATAACAACTCCAGCAACATGCTAAAATCGTAAAAGAAACTTCAGCGTAAGAATATAATTTTAATCGCAAGGAGAAGGAATATAGAACAAATTTCTAAGAGTAATCCTAAACAATAAAGAAACTTTTCGATTAAAAATTTGTACGAAGTACTTTAGAATCCTTTTATTTTTCAGAAAAATACGTTCGATAACATTTGATTTACACAAAAATCTAACGTTTCTTCTGCTTTCTCTTCTTCCTCTACTTTTTTCACTCTTTTTAATTGACGTTTAAAGTTGTTTTGACTGCTAAAATCATCAGCAGTTATACATTAGCAGTGAGCATTGAACCATAATGTTTATGTTCAATAATAGTTGAAAAATTGCAATTATTTCGATGGTGTTACACCTATAAAATGAATTTCAGCGTAAAACAGAATGTCTAAGCTAATGAAAGTAATTCGTTTTCTGTTACCTTATGTATATGATTTAAATTGTATCTGATGTTCCAACAATGGTGTTATTTTGAGTTTCTCGTTCATTCTATGACACATCGGTATCAGGTCTGTTTAGTTTCATTTTTAACTGCGCGATTGCTTGTCGCTGGTGTTGTCTGGGTAAAAGTCTATCCTCGAAACGCGGATCAACGACGATTGATTGCACAAATATGTCGTTGTTTATTATGGTTCAAACCGCTCCTACAAATAAAATATTTCATTAACTGCAGCTTTTTCGTTTTAAGCTTAATATCCATAGAATTTAAAATTACTTTTAATTCATGTTTTTCAATAATAAACAGTTCACGATAAATACAGACATACTTGTGCGATCAATTATAGTAGACTCGATTTTCAGTAACAGACTTTCTATTTAGACTATGGCAACAATAAATAACACAGCAATTAAAAACGAAGAAGGAGAAACTTAAACTAACTTGGCATTTTTGGTACACCAGGTATAATTTCAAAGCCATATTAACACAATAGAATGAATTAATTTCATTAAATTAAACATAATTTTACATTAAACGTGTTCTTTAAACGATATACCAGCAGAATTAATAAATCCCTTGAAGCAGAGGAAAAATAATTAGGAAAAAGTAGAAGAAATATTTCAATTTCGTAAACATCGAGGAACATTGATGTATCTCTGACAGTATTTTAAAAACATTATGTTAATGTTACGCGATATATGTACATACGTAGAAAGTGTTACTAGTATTTTCATTATTATCAATTATTGGCAGTAAGGCTGCACGTGGTCGGTTGAAAACTGTGGCAAATGTCTGGACTTTGAAGAAATTGTATTATAAAATGTTGGAAACTTGGTCTGCACACATCCATGTATCTAGATTAATAGAAAACGCGAAAATTATTTGCCGGGGCAAACTAATCTATGTTATATGACCCCGATGTTGTTGTATCAAATCTTCTTCAGTAAGAAATAACACAAAAGAATATATCCTTAAGGGGGCACAACACTGTAAAAACATTTTTAAGAGGGGTACATTCAGAAAATATTTATAAAGAAACGATGAATTGTTTTCACACTGTCCGTATGTTTTATTCGACATGTAAACAAACAAAAACCTCTCATTAATATCATTAACGTGGCGTTACTCGATTCTAGAGCGAAAGTGAGCACTGCAAAAAATACACTGGTAACCGATCGGCAGCTTTGTGACCACTGGGTATATCTGAGATAAAAAAAAATTTTCTTAAACTACGTAAATACTTATGGCTACAACCTGACATAGGATTTGTTTGATATCTCAACAAATTTCCGAATGTCACGAAAAATTGTTATTATTTGATTGAAGAAGGTAGACAAACTTTTAAATAAATGACTACGTCGTAACAACTAGTTTTCTGAAGAGAACGTGACTTGGATCGTATCAATCGGACGCACAGTTCTCTCCGAAAGCTGTCAACCAGGTTGATACGTGTCATTTAAAGATAAATGCTATACGAGATACTTAAAGTTTCGGTAGCTTTCGATTGAACGCTTAGCACTGCTTAATATATGTATGTATGTACGTGCACCTCGTTTCCTATTCCAAGAGTCCTTACAAAAATATACAACAAAAAACGTTGCCAATAATCTAGTAATTTTAAAATGAAGTCTAAGGTGATAGTAATGTTAATTGAATGTTAAAGATAATTCTAATATTGATTCAACATTTGAATTCAGTATATCTATATTCAAATTATTATATAAACTTCAACTAGACGATACCTTTGGGGTGTCTGGAGCACGAACAAGTTGATCTTGTCCGGGATGAGGTCGCATACGGTGCCATATTTCGACCTTTAATAGATTTTGGAAAGCCAACAGTAAACCCATCAAGCATAGTAGGTAGAAAATGAGTCCCCTCACAGAGAAACGCGGCAAACCCATGCCGCACGTTTCCTTCGTGACAAAAAACTTTATCTATCCATGTGCTGTTGTCCGATCGGCGCTCAATGTCCATTCAGATGAGCTGAAAGCACAACAAAATTTAGAGTTCACAACGGGGAGATCATTGATTTCTAAAAAAAATTTCAGAGGTCAACGACAAGGGAAGGATTTTTATCAAATTATGCGTAAATATTCATTAATATTGTGTAATTGTTTGGATTACTATAAATACTGTATTGGATGAATTCGATGATATAACTACTATATTATAATATGATACAGATCATATAATTGAAGGATTAAATTTAATCTTTCATCTATAATATATGTAGCTAATTAACTACATAAATATTTTAATTTATATAATTCCTACATTATAACAGTAATATAACATGATCCTGTAGATCATGTATTTGACGGATTAAATTCAATTTTGAATGCATAATATGTAGCTAACCACCTACTTTAGTTCCTGTAGGTACAGCAGTAATTATTACTGCTGAAGTAAAATATGCTCGAGTACCTATACGAGCAAGAAAGAAAAACACTTCTACTTGCCACTACACTGCAGAGTATCATGTACTCTTCGTCCCCTGTGTGTCTTCGTTATACCGAAGTCCTCAACCTATTCCACCTACCAATCTGGTCATTGCTCTAATTTGTTTCTCTCGGTGACCTACTTAATACTCCTTTCTTTCCCTCCCTACCTACGTTCTTAACCTAATTACTCGACACTCTGTCACCCTGTTCTTTGTCTTAACGTTCTTTCCAACTCGCACCACTTTTGAACTGTGACCTGTATGTTTGCAAGAGCTAACCCTCGATTTCACCCTTCACGAGTGCAGTGTATTTTCACTCGTCGTCGATAAAGTCTGTCGCGAGTATGTTCACCCTCTACACTTGGTACCATCTTACTGCACGATGTGCAAACAGGAATCGCCTACCAGAAATTTTCTACCGAATCCAACACATGACCCGCGTAAGAATTTTTATAGTCGGACGCTGCGGTTTATATATTGTACTGACTGCGCAAAAATAAGAGGAATGTCTGCAAAAACGTGAAATCACATATTTTTATCCAGATTTATCATAAAAAAGATAAATATTCATTTGAAAACCGTGCATTCTTACCGTGAAATTGATAGCAAGCTTTTCTGTGTCTTACGATATATGAGCAAGATAAGATACCATGAAAGCGATTCTTAAAAAATGTATTTTTTAACGTACTGTTACTGTGATTTAAATAGAGAACCCACGGCGACTGAAAAAAGAAAATTTATTTTGGGAAAGTATTGTCGCTGTAATGTGACCGCTAAGAAATTGATACGTAAATAGTATTTTTTACGCGTGTAATAGAAATTATGTATATCGCGTTATTAAATATGTGATTGGAGTACGTTATCATGGAACGTAAATGTAAGTACGTAAACGTATGAGTGTGTATGGATTATTGTTTTAAGAACTAGAGATACGGAAATGACCTAAATAAATTGCTTTCTTTTATATTTTAATAGATCGTTCTCGTGCAAATTAAATTTTGTATTGAAAATAATTGGAAAATTAATCTCCTTACATGAATGAGTCGCAAACTTTTTTCTGTATTAATTTTCTGTTTATGTATATTGATGTCACATAAAGCCGAAGCATGGAGGAATCATTAATCATTTAGAGCTAAAATCAAAGCGAGCGTATAAAAGGTACGACGCGAATCGGGAGACCAGTACATATTATCGAATAAACTTGCACACGTAAGCAAGTCACCATAGAAACAGGAAGAGCTGCTTATAGATACACCCTATTACTCGTTAATGCGGGATTCCTCGTTAGATTCAAGGTGTGGTTTGCACTGGCTATTAGTAACGTAAACATTTCTCTTCGGTAAACAATATTCACACGTGCGAAGACAAGATGAAACTAGACCAGTCCAATGGTTTCGCAGTACAGAGTACACTTTGTAAAATAATTCTGCAAGGATTTTATAAATATACATAATACGGGTACCGTCGGAATACTTATGCGGCGCATCGTGCATCAATGATGAATGATACGGTTCGAAGGCAAATATATACATTGACGTGCCTGATTATTCAAATTAGTTACTATTTTTAGAACATTTCAACGCTGTTGATTGACACAACGCTAACGATGGTCTACAAATTATGTGATAAGGAGGAACAAATGTACGTTGGTGCGTGTTTGGTTGCGTTGAGTAAGGATCTATTTTTAATCAATGTTTCCGTCAATTATCGTTCGTGAAGACACACGCGAAAACATATCTTTTTGCAACTTTGCAGTTCGTAGAGTATCGAAAAATATTAAGTCGATGCATAATTAATAAAATTATCCGTCGTATTTTAAAAAGAAAATCTGTCCGAAAACTGAACATGAAAATACAATCGGAACATGTTGGAATGATTATTCTGCAGCATATTCGCCGTCTACTTCTGGTTCTTCGAGACTTCATCGAAGTTGTCTACCTTATTAGTCTATCACGTTAAATATCTACTTTAGTGACTTCGGGGGTGGTGTTCACCCTTCAAAGTGAATTTGGACAGCTACAAAAAAAAAACATGTTTAATATTTTTCAATACACTACGAACCTGTTTTGAATAAATTACCACAGACAAATTTTGGATGCTTCAGGAGCAGATTGAGTGAACAATGTCGCGGATAATCCTTTAGGTCTCGAGCTAGGTACTTATGGTCTGCTGAAGGGTTGATGGATTCTGTCCAAAAGAAGATTTTCTACCGTTCTCTACTAGATAACGTTACTTGGCTCAAAATTTATTATCCTCGAATCACTAAAAAAGATTTTGGGAAGACTCGGCAGAACCTTGAAATAAAAGACGCAGTCCTGAGACTGAGAATGGCGATGGACTACCTACCATTGTTACTATAAATACCATGAAACGTTCTGATCCCTTTTTTGTAACAACCTTTATACGTCAGATTTAACACGTTGATTGCCACGTGAATATTTCGTGAACATTTTTATGAGAATAAAATGTTGTTTTAAGACAATCGAAGCCTACGTAATCTAACATTTGTCGGAGTACTTAGTTTTATAACGTTATCGATGTTCATGAGTCCTAACCTGGTTTATTTTCTTTAACATTTTGTCTTCAACATTATGTTATTCAGTTCTACAGTGAATAAATATAAAATAAATATGCTATATGTGGTGGTGCAAGATTTTCCTTTCAGACTCTGGTAACAACCGTGTTAAAAAGCAGTTCCGTAACTTCTTAATTCCCTCGTAACTTCCTCTGTTCCTATGGACAATTATTAATCCTTTAGCAACTGGATCGAAATGAATTGATTAGCGAATGTGAAATAATCATCATGCGATGAGCCCCTATATCTCATTTGCGTAGATAATGCATGCTACGGGTTATTTACGATATCTACACTTGACAGTCGGCCCGTATTACGGACAGTTTCATTTCCTTCAAACTGCCACACTATTTGCGAATTGTTCCGCATTTGGTGACATAGGTATTCCAAAAAACGGGAACATCAATCTCATTCCAGTGTAGACACTTATGTTCGATGTGATTTTTAGGAATTCAAAACGCATTTAGAATTCGTTATATGTAAACTCCGGACGTTTATACAAATTCGTGTTTTGCAGATACAGATAATAAATTGAAGTTTCCGTAAGTTTATGTCTTGTTATTTAAATAGCGTATGAGTTATGTTATTGTTGATATTTTATGCATTTTTGCATTTCTGCATAATCTCATAAATTTTCCCATATTTTAACATTTTTCGTTTAAACATTTTCTTCGAACGATGAATATTTTGCGAGATAATCGCGTGGAAATATTATAATGGGACACCCTATATATATTCTAATTGACAAGAAACTATTTTTCGATTTAAACCGGACACACTGACCTTAGCGTGCTCTATTTATATGGAATTAATTTTTTACTCGTAATGTTAACTCGTATTCCTAACGTTAATATTTTAGCAATCACGTACAGTATTAATGTACGTACTCTATGATAAGAATCGACATATTACAATGTCACCGAATACAGGTTTCTCTTATCACTAACATAGCGAAGATAAAATGGCCATGTATTATTATAGAAATGGTATGCATAATATGTATAAAATATATTCCATAAATTAATACAACTATATCAATATCTAATTTTGTATAAGTGCAACATAATATTCTGAATACAGTTGTTAAATATTTTTTAGATTTACGATACGCCATAAATGCATAAAATTTATTATCTATTAATTCCATTAAAATAAATTTATACGTCATACCCATTGTTACCCAAACAACGATTTTTAATGTACTTCGTAAATGCATATTTCTTGCAGTTACGATTTTATTAGTACACTGAAATTATGTTACGGCACGGCACACATCAACGGAAACGAATGTTCACTCACTGGCCACCTGAGTATTACTAATAGCCATGAGCTTCGGCGTTATAGTGTTTCGGTCAGTTATCAGCGACGAGGATAACGCATATTACCAACCACAATAATATGACCTTTAATTTCAATATTTTTTATGTTCTATCGTACTATATGCATTTTGTAGTTTCTTGAACATTCAAATTTTCTATGAATGCATACAAATTCCCAGTCCAATTGTAATCAAAGCAAAACAAGAGCTCATACCCTTCCTCCATTGATGAAAATAAAATCTGTTAAAGGAATTTTATTCTTCGATAAATTTCGAGTACGAAAGTTCCCTTTCAATAAATTTTAACCAACAAAGTAATGATTTAAACACACGTCAATTAAACAAACATCTATATGATGAAACGGTACTCTTGCACCGAATGTGCAAATATTATTTTCTAACGTTACGTTAAAATATTACACGTATATGAAACAACTGAACGCAATTTGAACAGAGAAATGCTTTAGATACGAGTAAAAGTGCAATCTGTAAATACACATGCAAATTCACATCATAGGCCTGCAAGTGATATGTCATTGAGTAGGTTAAGAAGACATCATTTCTCGTTAAATACATTCAAAGAAACAAATTTTATTAGAAGTATTATTCGATTATTTGTTATAATGATGAGACGTACCTATTGGAATCTC